CATCTTTATATTGCAGTTCACTAGAGCAGGGCACACACAGCTGAGAAGCAATGCTATAATGATCACCAGTACTATCACAGTTGTTCTGTTTAGCACTGTGGTAAGAGCTCTAGCTTGATCTACTTCTAGCAGTTATTTATTATAGAAACTTATTTTATCTCTATTAATGCAAAATAAATTAATGAAAATAAAAAGGGGCATGTACATGCACACCGCCCAATTCCTATAAACTTACATATCTAGCCCCAAAACTTTACTTTTTTTTGCATTTATGTGGTATGTCTGTAAATGCCCCGTAAATTTTTACTCGAACTGATTTCACTAAACATCATAAACAAATTACCTTATCATAACTCAACGATTCCTCAACCCCGCGCAGGTTTTCGGCTTACTGACAAAGCCTCTAATCCGTCTTCTTCTTCCTCACGCTCCGAAGCATCTGAGCAGCATGTCCTCAGATCCCCTGAGTCCAAAATCCTTCCTTTCTCGTCTCCTCCTCGAAAATGGCCAGGTATCCGAGGTCGAAGCTGTGGGGGATAATATCATCGGCCTGCCGAACCTTCGGATGCTCCTCACCAAACCCTACGCATCGGTTCATCACCATTGGCGCAGATTTGATGATTCCTTCATGCGCCCAGTTTTTGGGGGCAGGGGATTTGTTCCTTTTGTTCCCGGTTCGCCTGCAGAGAGAAAGGGTTTGGCTGAAACAAGCATTATTGAAGAACAATGATCCGCAGTTTTTTTTTTTTTTTTTTTTTTTTTTTAATTTGCTTGAATGTTACAGGAATTATTTTATTTTAAATTGTTTTATCTGTTTGTAAGAATTAATGATCAATGTTGTTCAAATTATTGTTTTTTTAGAAAAGAAAAGAAAGATATAAAAGTAAATAAAATTTAAAATGAAAATGATTCCAAATAAGTAGGGGTGTAAACGAGCCGAATACGAGCGAGCTCAGACTTAGCTGGTACTAGCGCGGTCTCCCGCTCGTCTATATTTCGAGCTCAAAAAGTGTGTTTGTGTTCGGCTCGCTATCGTTCGTTTAGCGAGCCGAACACGAACAAAAAATTGTTTTGACAACACTAATCATATGATAAGGATTGGGTCAAGATTTAAAATATCATTTGAATCTAATTTAATAATTTTTATTCAATTTTCTTAATTAAAACTTTTAATTAATTATAAATCTTTGTAGCTTTGTGGTTAATTAAATTTTTTAAAAGTATTGTTACTCATCAAATATATATATATATATATATATAAATGATTAGCATATTTCGAGTCAAAACAAGCTGAACACGAATGAACAAATATTTGTTTGTGTTCGACTCATTAACTTAGCGAATGAGACGAACACGAGCTTTTTAACGAGGCAAACACGAGTCATTCGCGAACAACGAGCAGTTTTGACAGCCTTACAAACAAGCCCTTGGCCACGAGAAAATATTACGCACGATAGGTAATATTTTCTCCTTAATAGTATGCTCGGCACACATATATATTTTCTATGGATTTTAAATACCATACTCACACTTTATGAAAAGCAAGTGCTTTATGATTGGAATAAATATTTTTATATGTGTATTTTTAGATATTTCTCATAGCCATAACCTAAACAAAGAGCATAAGCTCATCCAAGGGCTTTCTAATCTCTTGAATTTTATTTTGAATAATAATAATA